GTATATACATTGTGAAAGGGTCACCACAGTAAGTCTAATTATCATCTGTCACTATACAGGGTTAATACAGTATTATTGACTATAGTCCCCATGTTGTACATTACATCCCTGTGACTTAGTGCTTTTATAACTAAAACTTTTTTTACTTACACTAAGCCAAAGCCTGCTCCTCTGTGATGGACAAGTGTAATATTGTGATTTACAATAAGAAATATACATTTGGTCTTTGTTCCCATTTCTAGCAGAGCTCCTAAAATTCTTGGAATTTCTTAAGCTATGGGAGCTATAAGGGTGCCTTGAATTCATAACAAACCCCTTTCAACCATACCTCAGGGGACTTTGTAAAGTACCTAAGGATGGGGGCTGGTCACCTGGGGAACCAACCACATGATGAGAGGGTTAGGATTCTCAGTCCCATCTCCCCAACTGCTGGAGAAGAGAGAGCAACTGCAATTCAGTTAAGACCCCACTGGCTAATGATTTAATCACTCGTGCAATGTAATGAAAACCCAAAAAACAGGGTTCGCGGAGCTTCCAGGTAGGAGAACCAGAAGGCTTCATGCGCCACCATCCTGGGCTGCAAATTCCAAGGGAAACAGCAGCTCTGCATTCAGGCCCTTGCCCTATGTATCTCTTTTTCTGGCTGTTGAATTTTACCCTTTAATATCTTTCGTAATAAGCCAGTAATCTAGTGAACAAAGTGGGTTCCTGAGTTCTGTGAACTGACCTAACAAATTAATGAAAACCAAGGATGGGGTGATGGGAACCTCGGATTTAGAGCCGATCTGTCAGGTGACAACCTGGACTTGCTATTGGCATCTGAAGTCGGGGGTCTTTTGGGACTTTACCTTTAACCTGTGGAATCTGAAACCATCTCCAGGTAGATAGTGTCAGAATTGATTTGAATTCTACAACACCCCACTAGTGCCTGAGAATATTTGGTGTGGGGAGATAAAAAAAACACACAACACCTTGGAATTGGTGTAAGAATTGTAACAAGTGAATGAGAAAAGATGAAAAGCCTGTTAGGAAGGTGGGTAGGAGAAAAAAGGGGGAGAAACTGTGGGTGTGTTTCACTGCTATGTCCCCAGAATAGCATGGTATGTGTCATTAGGTATGCAATAAATATTTTCCACTGTCTGAGCCATTTGGAAGAAGAGCATCGGGTCATAATGATGTGATCATAGTATATTAGTTAATTATTTCTTAATGAGATTTAAAAAGAGTGACATTACAATGTTTTCTCTTTCCACTATGCTTATATGTATCTTGTTGATTCAGTGAATTTGTATGGGCAGATGGCGGTTTTAAACAAATGAAAAATATATTGTTTGTAGTTTATGGCTTCTTTGGTGTCTTAAATCTCAGTTATATTTAAACGTACATGCCTTTCACATAAGAAGTGATGTACATATCAGAGATGCAGCACTGGAGTTTGGCCGACAGTCTCGTGCATTTCAGCTTAAATGTCAGCCTATTTCCAACTATGGGAGAACCAAGCTCCTAGAGTGCTGGGTTTACACACCACATATTTCTATTTTATCTTTATTGTAATGAACAAGCCCTGACTTTAGCTCCTGCTGTGCCCTTTTGGAGGGTCTTCCATATGGTTGCTGTTAAGTATGTTGGCATTTTCCCAACTGTTACAATTGGGTCAGTGGGGGGGGAATCTGTAGGGGCAATAACACAAGGGTGACTGCAGCAGGGAGGAGTCTGATTACCACACAAACAGCTCATCGCTGCTCACGCATCCAGGCACAGCGCAGTGCCATCCATTACAGCAGGCAGCCAGGGAAACCGCCTTTCTGCCAGATTTGACTCCAGGAAAGACCAGGTCTTGGGTGCCCAGACGAAGTCCCCTCAGCGTTTTCCCTGTTTCCTCACTTCTTCACCTTCCCATAGTATCTGGAATGACCTGAGGAGTAATGCAGGTTCACCTTGCCTATTATTGTCATTCTGAGCAAGTTTTTATGAGCAAACCTTAGGCAAATTTTAGTAGGAACCGCAGGGTTGTCAGTGACCCTGAAGGCTTTCATACCTAAGTAGGGGCGGGGGTTGGGGGGAGCAGGGACACGGGTAGGGGAGATTGGGAAGGGAAGTCTGAATACCACAAATACTTAAAACTGCTTGAGACACGATTCATATAGCTAGAGGTGACTGATAATATTGACACGATTATTGGAGTGTCTTTCCTAACAGAAAACACATCTATGAAAAAATATAGGCAACTATTATTTTTATCCTGTGGAAGGCAGTGCTGCTCAAAGCACTAATAAATACACTGGGAGGGGAAAGTTCAAAGCAAGTAAGATTCTAAATAGTGAAATAATACATTAAACTGAAATATGTGTACACATCAACACACACACACACACACACACACACACACACAATGAAGTAAAACAATGACCTGAAAGACCTGATCCAAAGATTGTATTTCCCATATTTACGCTTATATACACAAGGATTCTTTAAATTACTTTAACATGATGGGGGGGGGGCGTTGTTTTTTTTCCCACGGCATAAACAATGTACCGTTATATGGCATTCTAATAGGTTCACATTATAGCCATGAATTTTTCTTGAGCAATCGATATATTTTTTAAAATAGGGTTGACGTGTTTTGTGGTTTATGTTTCCAGTTGAGAACATGGAAGTGTTGCATTGAGAAAGTTGCTCCCCAGTT